AAATTCTTATAGGTAGCCTCGGTCTGTTAAATGCTGATTTTACAAAGAAGATTAAATAGGAAGTGATTGAGTTTATAACAATTTTCATCATTATCAAACTTCCCTGGTGCATTTATAATAGGATTTGATCTACAGACTTCCTCATATGGATGGTGTCATAAGACTAGAGGAAAGCTGCCCTGGTCTGGTCAAGCACCTGGATGTAAATCTAAACCACTAGCTAGCCCAGTCCTGGTAGTTCTGCTCTTCAGCTGGACCTGACCTGTCCTTACCCACTTTCTCCCCCTCCCCCCAGGGTTTGCTGGCTCCTGTCTGCCCCGCTTCAGCACCATGCCTTTCATTTACTGCAACATCAATGAAGTGTGCCACTATGCCCGACGCAATGATAAGTCCTACTGGCTTTCCACTACTGCCCCCATTCCCATGATGCCCGTCAGCCAGGCCCAGATTCCCCAGTATATCAGCCGCTGCTCTGTGTGTGAGGCACCATCGCCAGCCATTGCCATACACAGCCAGGATGTCACCATCCCACAGTGCCCTCTGGGCTGGAAAAGCCTCTGGATTGGGTACTCCTTCCTCATGGTAAGACTCTGCACTCCCACTGTGCAGAAGCAGAGATCCAGGGCTGTAGGAGGGCACCTCTGACTGGCTCCCAGGCTCCAGGCAGAGTTGGAAAGGAAAGTAAATGCTCAGCTGGGACTTGGCTAAAGACCTAAGAATCTAGTTCTGCATGAATGACAGGTAGTTCTGGATATGAGGGGAAGACAGTGGCCAGACATTTTGTGTGTCTTGCTAAGAAAGAGAACATCTGTAATCCCAAGGAGGCATTGAGTCACTCCACATGGTATTCAGAGAATATCATTCATCAGATGAGAAGTCAGGTTTTAGAGCCAGGAAAACACCCAGGAAACCCAGTGTGGTGGCCACTGAAGTGGCCTGCTTCACCAGAGCATCCTGCTGAATCACTGGGGCAAGAATGTGAGGGAGTACCTTTAAACAATTTCCAAACCACAGGCTCCCTCACTTTAGTTTACCTACCTGGGGTATGGTACCTCCTTGTAATAATCTATCTTTGCACAATGGCAGTTTATCACAATGTACTATAGAGTTACCTCACCTGTCATTCCATCCCATCTACTACCCAGGCCAGGAAATAAAGAAAAAAGGCCCCTAAGCTTCCACAAGAAACCATACAAAGCCTGTGTACTAAATCTCATGTGCTCTGTTCATGAGAGCTTAGCTCTCACTCAGAATCCTTTTACTCTTATTTGCATGTAATTCTAACATGCAAGTATATATTTCCTGAAAATCAGTAAGGGTGAGAATTGAGACTACATTTTGAGGCAATGAGCATGCTAACTAAAAAGGAGAAAAGAGAATAAATGATTTAATAGTTTCACAAGCTGCATGCTTTGGTACAGGGCCTTTGCATAAACTGCCCTCCACAAAAACCTCACATTTGCCATGACAAGCTCGAGTCATCTGCAAAGTTTACAATACAGTGTCTGCTGTTTAGTAAAGCAAGGAGTTGTGTCATGTGTTTTAGAAAGTTTTCTATCCTGGGGGTCAAAATGAGGAAAACTTTGATGCTTCAGTTATCAGGAAGGGTCACTTGAAAGGTCACTTGGAGACTCTCATTGTCTCACAGTTCTACAAAGTAAGAAGTCCTACCTGGGCATATACTCTTTTGGCCATTTGCTGACACAAGTGTGCACTAAGCCTCTCCCCCACATCCTCTGGTTCAGATGATAACCTAGCTGAGGTGAAGGAGGAGTTGGAGGTAGGGGCAGACGGGGACTGCTGTCTGTGGGTATAGAGACTGTCAGCTCATAAGTAGCCCTGAAAGTGAATGCTAAGGGAGCCCCCTGAAACGAGGATTGAGACATTTAGGCCAAATACACAGACTTCTTTCACTCAGCAGATAACAAACACTGTATGTCACCCTAAAGGGTGTGGCACAGACTGAAAATATTAGTTCCAGTAGAGGCAACCAGGTAAGAGCTATTGATGGACATGCTGCTAAGGGAGGGGCCGTGGTTGGATGAATGTGTGGAATAGTATCCATTCTTTCCCTGCTTAGAGGACAAGGCACAGTAGCCAGGCACAGTACACAGAGGGCTTAGAGAACTTCGATGAAGAAACCTTGTGAATTTACCTCCAGCTGTTCTCACATCTATTTTCCCATGAAAATTGGGGGAGGGGATATCTAACATACCTCCAAACACAGTGGCATAGCAGCAGTTTGGGAAACACTGGTTGAAATGTAGTCACTGGCAGGACAGGTTAGGAGGGTACAAAGGAACTGGGAGGGTGTGCCCCTGGCCCTAAAGGCTGCTATGAGAGAGGATAGGCAGCTGCTCCTCTAAAACATAGTTTTTGGAATGCTGGCTAGAAGCAGAGGCTGAGCCAAGGGACAAGGGCTTAGGAACAGAACACATGTGTCCCCCTGTAGCCACAGAACACCCATCACCTCCCTGTGCCAGGTCTCAGCAGGAGCAACTCACACCCAACCTCCTTCCCATCTATTTCAGCACACTGCCACTGGGGCCGAGGGTGGAGGCCAGTCTTTGGTTTCTCCAGGCTCCTGCCTTGAGGATTTCCAGGCCACTCCTTTCATCGAGTGCAGTGGTGCCCAAGGCACCTGCCACTACTTTGCTAACAAGTACAGTTTCTGGTTGACGACAGTAGAGGAAAGGCAACAGTTTAGGGAAGAACCTGTGTCAGAAACGCTGAAAGCTGGACAGCACCATACCCGGGTTAGCCGCTGCCAGGTGTGTATGAAAAACCTGTAGAGTGTCACCTACCACTCTGCCCCTTGCTTTTTCCACCCCCTCACAATGGTCACCTCGCAAGCCTGAACAATCAGAAGAAGGAAGGCCTGAGCCCATTTGCCTATCTGTCAGGTTATGTGTTGGAGTTTCATTTGGGCTGGACTGCTGGACGCTGGTCACCTCAACCTTCAGGCCCATTAGATGACCTCACCCTGTGAGGTCTTCTGTCCCTATTTCATCAACCTGGCGCTAGGGTTCTCTTTGGATGTTTGCATGTCTGTTCATGGCTACCTCAGAAAGATTTGCTGGACCACCACTTTTTTAAGACTACTAGGTGCTGCACTGTCTTGATCAGAAATCTCTTCATAATAGCTAGTAAGTCACTTCGTTATATCTAGAAGTTACCACACATTATTTGGCTGAAGCCAGAACCCAGTGCATCTACATTTTAAAAAAATTACCTGGCTGAACATTTGGAGATGGCGCAAGTGTGCATAGGGCAAGCCCTCACTATTCCAAGAGGTCTGCTGTGCCTGGGCAGAACTGCAAGGAAGTGTCAGCCAGTAACCCGGAGTGAGCCGTGACTCCTTCCAAAGTGTGCCAGACTGGGTCCCACATTGCTTAGGAAGGCTTGACAGCCAGCAGCCCCTTAACTTCATATTGTCCTAGACAAATCACGTCCTCCTTGCTGGCTCATTCTTCCTAGCCAGAGGACTTAGTTTGGGCCAAAGTAGAACAGAGGATGCAATAAATGTGGCAGAGGCCATAAAAGGAAATGGGAACCACAGGCCTTTCTTCTGGGCCAGGGGTAGAGGAGTAAATGGGTAAGAAGGTGTGAAATTTGTTTTTGACTCAAAGAACAAAAAGGTAAATCTCATTTACTTTTTCTCAATTTCTCAAAAGTCTCTGTTTATTCTATATGCCATCCAGATGTATTCCATGTGGTAAAGTGAAGTTGTGGTGTGTTGGTTCTTCGCCTTCTGAGGCTCAGGCTTTGCATTACAATGGTTATCCTACTGCTATTTCACAGGTAGCCTTTTAAACTATTTTAATATGTGTTTTAATACTCATAAAATTTAGCATACTCTTCTCATTAACAGTTAGTAGACCTAAAGCAAGCCTGAGTTGGCTGTAAAGCATATTCTGTATGGGGGTTTTGTTTCAGCCATTTTCTTTAATTACCAGTTTCCCAGAACACTTTTAGCTATGCTGACATGAGGCAATTCCTTCCAGGTGATTCTGTTTCTTTAAGTATTATGTAAACTGTGCCAACACAGACAAAGCTTAATCAGTATAATCTGAACTATTGTCACCTTCGCGTCCTGGGTAATAAACATGGTGTCAACTTTGTACATAGCAAATAAAATGAATAAAATCTGAACATTTGACTCTTGGCATTCTTCGATAAAAGCTTTTCTAATATTCATTCTCACTAAACTCTATAACAAAATATTGAAGCAAGAGAAAAATAGAAAATGATCAAAGTCCAACAGTTGAAAGAGACCTCTACTGGTCAACAAACCCACAACGTGCTTCAGGATAAGCCTACAACTCCTTTTATCCCCATCACATGCTAGAATTCAAGAAAGAATTTCCATACTTCTGTGGCCTTAGGATCATTTATAAATAAATTAAAACTAGAGAAATATTAAAGCCATTAAAATCAAATCTAAGCTAATATATATGTGTGTGTGTATGTGCATATATTTTTATATCTGTATATACCTAAGTATGTGAATATATTTATATATGCATAAAATACATCATCTGGAAGGATAAATAAGAAATTAATAACATTGGGAACTTTCAGGGAAGGGAAATGACCTGTGAGAGGGAGATTTTCACTGAATATAATTTTGCATCTTTTGAATTTTGAACCTCTGAAATATATTACCTACTGAGGAAAAAAGAGAAAACATGGACTCTACTGAAACAACTGAATTGGTTGGTGCTAGATTGCAAACCCCAGATGCTGGCCTCCTGTGGGACTATGTCAAGGATGGGAGTAAAATGCAGAAAGTTAAGAAGGCAAGGGAAGGAAAATGGAAAGATACCATGGGGATTATAGTATCCTCACAGAAGAGTGGGTGGCAAAGCTCATTTGATGAATATGTGTTTTAAAACTTAGTAAGTTACTAGTCCTAAAGAGATTTGGAATTGTATTTATTGCACAGATTAGATGTCGCTACATGAATAATTCTTTCTAAATATGGCTATCACCCAAAACAGTACAATTCAAACAAAATTTATTTTCAATTCTTCAAACATAAATTAACAATTTAAGTGATTGCCAAGTGATTGCAGGCCAAGTCCAGCCTTCCACTTGCTTTTGTGACTAAAATTTTTTTGGATTAAAGCCCCACTAAGTTACATGCATGTTGTCTATTACTGCCTTTGCACTTCCACAGCAGAGTTCAGTGGTTGTGACAGAGGCCACATGGCCTGCAAAGCCTAAAATATTTACTATCTGGCCCTTTACAGAAAAAGTTTGCTGACTCCTGATTTAAGGAGCGTGATTTGATTTACTGACAAAAGTATCAGTAAGGATGAAGACTGTGACCCATCAAATACTAAAGTTCCTCCAAATAGGAAGACAACTGAGAAGTATACATTTGACATCATTTCTTTGGCAAATGTTTTGATATAAATTATTATTTAAAATACATATTCAAATAATTTAACAAGAAATTTTTCTCCCTGATTTACTTTATTATTTGGGCAAGAGAACAAATTGCTTCTTAGTATTTATCCCCAAAGAAGTCACACCTGAAAAGGTGAAGAACAGCGTAACCATCTCTCATCTGCCAGTGCGTGAAACAAATGGGAGTTGCCGTCTATCTTCCAAATGTCCTCATTTCAGCTCCTGAAGATTTACTGTAGCTATGTAAGACAAGTCAGGGAGCAATGGGTTCCTCCTAATCTTTCTGCTCTTAAGAGTTTGTGATTGTTCTATGTCTTCCTTGGGAAGGGTTGTTGTCATTTCTGTTTTTTGCTTTTTGTTTAAGACATGTGATTGACTCCATCATGATCGTTATCGAGTTTGTATGCTGTTGGCATATCAGGCACTTGCTGACTAGAAAAGTTTTATGTAACAAGTTCATGTTTCTGCGGTGCCATATGGAAGACAGAGGTCCAAATTGAGTTCCCACTATACTACAAACTCAGAATCTCAAAATCTTCTTCCAGGTCCAAGTCCTCCAGTTGTTCAGTAGAGTCAATGAATTCTATTAGAATACAGAAATGAGAAGAAAAGCATGGCATTTGGATTGATGTGGTCAATCAATACATTACTCAATCATTAAGACTATGCATTTTTAAATCACTTTGCCAAAGAAAGGCTTGTCTGTAGTAGACTTACAATTAGGATTACTTCAAGTTTTAGAAATTCTCTACAAAGACTCAAAATAATCAAGCTGGTTACACAGATCAGTGATCTGGCCAACAATCTGCAAGCCCTTCGAGATACTTTTTGAATCACCCCAACCTCTGGTTTGTTATTCTGAACCAGAGCACAAAACAACAACAACAATAACAAAGTCTAGACATCTTGATTTTGCATAGAACTTTTGTACTAAGTCCATGTTCTTCATTTATCATTCTTTGAAACTGAAAAATATCAGCTCATCAGAAGATTAAAATAATCAGAAAAATCATTCCTTGAACAGCCCAGCTGAGTAGAAATTTTACTTTCCACAGAAAGCGTGAGCCACAGTTCTTTCTGTCTCATAAAACAATTGCTACATGTGGATCTTCTGGCTGACAACTCCTGAATATCTTACCTGCCCCAGTGGTTGTCACCTCTGGCTTGGTTGGAGGTACAAAAGGAGGCCAGTGTGGTGGATGTTTCTGAACTAATTCAAACATTCTTAAATTCTCCTTCAGAATTTCCTGGGGAGACGCAGAAACAGTTGTAAATCCTATAGAGTCAACTGTATTTCTGTCCAATTGGTGATCTATGACCCAAACCCTAAAGGAGTGACAGGTGGGGAAAAAAAGGCCTAGTGGATATACAAATCCTCTACTTGAATCATCTGAAGATCTCAGTTGTCTTCAGTTCTGGATTGTGCTGACCAGGCAGGACAGCCACCAGAAGGAGTAGCTGATGGAACCCAACACTCACTGTCCACACTCCGTCATGAGGCTTGGGTACTGTGCCAGTTGCACAGGCCCAGCTCAATTTTGCTGTGAAGTGTTCCTGAAGTATTTGTTGCAAAGAAATGTCATTTAATCAAATTAAATATGCCCCAGGAGAATACCAGTACATATTAGCATGGTTTCAGTTGTAGTCCAAAATTTAAGGCACTCTGAAGTCTAAATATTACCTTTAAAAATAATCCTCTATTATGTCTCAGCAAATTATTACCTGGGGTCTTAGATTCAGTTAGGTACACTGGTGTTAATTATTCATTCACTTGTGAAGAAAGACCTTCCCTTCTTATTCTTAAAAAGGTTCTGGGCTCCCATGTCTCCAATCCTTCTGTTTCACTGACAGGAGAACTTTGTGTTTCTTGCCACCCCATCTGAGGCTCTTGAAACTACCTCTTATGATCTCCCTTTGGTCTTTCAATAAGCATTTTTAAATATCTTCCATCTACTGGCATATTTTAGAGGCTGACAATGAAGGAGTCAGATTTAAAGACTGACACGCCAATGAAATAATTCCCTTTTACACAAGATAGCAAAGGAAAGAATAACTTTACATGGATTACTGTATATTGTAATTCCTTTAAGTGGTAACATGTCTATATTTTAAAAACTAAAAACTTTAATAAAAGGATAAGCCATCTAAACCATGATGGAATATATGAAACTGTTAATGGATCACTAAACAAATAGAAAAGTACTTTAGCTTCTTCAACCATCAGCATATCATGAGCAGAGTAAGGAAGGATTTAGGGCTGAGAAATGTGAAATTGGCATTTTTAGGTTAAAATAGTATATTAGCTGAATATTTCATACAATTCATAAGTTCAATGAAATTAAACATTAAGTTTCACCACTAAGACTATTACTCACCTGACATATTAAGCATGTTTAAAACAGAAGCTTTGCTTTGTTCCCCCAAAGTTATGCACAGTTCTTGGCATATAATTCTTTGTTGCCTTTGTTTTTCTCTTGCAATAAAATCATATCGGACTAGGCTTATGTTACTCTGAAAACAATCTTACAAAGGAATCATACTGAGTAGCTTTCATTCGTTCGTAAGACTGAAAAAAAATACATCATTACCTTCTGAACAAGGCAACACCAGTTATCAAAGTCTTTTTCTTCTTTGCAGAAAAATCCCTTGGGGAAACAAAAGAACACAACTTAGAATTGCCCTTTGTACTGCAAGATGGAGCTGTTGGCCCAAAATTAGGTGGGTCACTATCTCTGGATGTCTCTTCCTAGATAGAGGAAAGCTGGCTGGGTTTCTCTCCCTCTCCTAGCTCATTGTCTCACTTGCGCACAGACATTGGCATTTTATCACTCTCTCACTGTCTCATTCTCTGTCTCTTTGATTCTTGTTCTCTGTTCCTTTCCACTGTCCCCCTCCCCTCATGCTGTGGGCTACTTTAACTTGAAGATCAGTCCCCAAAGGATGGGGTTAATTCTATCAAATTTGGTGTGCGAATAGACACATCTATAAAAAACATTCAATTAAATTAGAAAATAAAAGCCAAATACTACTTTAGCTAGAGGCAATACTTAATAAGGTGGCTTTGTCCTCAGGAAATTACTATTAGAAAAGAGAGAGCCAGCAGTCTTCTTCCCCAACCTCAGAGCCATTCCACAGTAGTGAAAGAATGGCCCAAAACAAGAGGAGGGCTGTGTTATGTCTTGGCCACTAGTGCTCTGACAGTTGTATTAAACAGGAAGTCAGGATGCAGACAGGCCTCAGAACCACTGGCTGCTTTGCAGAAAGATGCCCCTTTAACATGTGTTGATAGCAGTCATATTTCTGGGGAAACCTGTAACTTCCTGGATTCTGTGCATCAAAAAATGGACACTGTCCTCCCAGAGAGGTCTTACCCACTTTTTCATCCCTAGCCATATCCTACTTATTCCTTGTGCCCATGTAGTAATAATTTAAGGGCAAGAAGGAAAAGGGAGAAGGATGATAACACTAATAATAACATTTATAGAATTCTTACAATATGTCAGGCCCCGTGCTAAGTATCCCACAACACTGCACCTCCCACAACCCCATGAAGAAGGAAGTATTGTTTTCCTCACATTTAGAGAAGACTGAGGCTCAGAGAGGTTAAATGACTTCCCCTATGTCCATAGCTATAGTCAGTGGCAGAGCCTGGGTTCTAACTCAAATAGTTTGGCTCCGGGATCCATTCCTTTCCCAATATATTAAACTGCTTCTTATGGGAGTGGTGAGCAAAGTTACTCTTGCCATGCTACCTAACAATCTGGGTAACTTCCAGGGAGCCAGCCTAATAGGGTAGCCTTGTGTTTCCTGGCCCACCCAACCTTCAGATACCCACCAATGCTACAGAAGGATCTAAGTTCAGGATGTTCATCTGCTGTGGGGACTGCAGGCAATGGAAAGTCTGGTCATCAACAGTTCCATTCTCTTCAGTGTCAACAAAGGTCTGGGTTGTGTGAGGGTCCAAGAAGATGAGCTCATCACCTGTTTTGAATGAGATACGCTAAACCTTTGAAGAAACACTGGCCTTAGCCCCACTGCTATCCTTGGGAGGAGGCACCCTGGTTCCCTAACCCCTCCTCAGTGACAATGAAAATGAAATGACAGAAAGCCTGAAGCCAGGGTGAACATGCTTGAAGGAACCCATTTGTATCCAAATCTAGTCCTTCAATCAGAAGATTTGCCCTAGAATTTACAACTCCTCAAAGTCCAAGCCCAGAAATGAAAGTGATAGGTTTGGGAAAAGGTGAGAATGAGAGACCACAGATGACATAGCAAGCTCTGTGAGCAGCAGTAGTAAAGAGGCAACAGTATAGTCACAAGACTATGAGCCTAGGTGCCGTTAGAGAGCTTTCTGCTTTTATTTTGGAAAGCATCTTGCTCTAGACCATTGGTTTTCAGACCTGTGCTCAGAAAGCACCTCTGGTAAGCGAAAAGGTCTTAGCCTCCAAAAGAAGGCTACCCAGGCCAAAAAAGCATGTCAATTCTGCTGTGGATGAGATCCCAGTGAGCTGACTCCTGGTCAGGCAGAGATGACCAAACCGGGATTGAATTCTAGCCTTTAGTGCTTCTTAGCTGAAGGACATCGAGGAAATAACCTCTCTTAATCACCATTTCACTATGTGTAAAATGAAAATGACAATTCCATCTCACAGGGGTGTTGTGCTAATAATGATGAGAAAAAGTCTGTACATGTTCAGTACAGACACAATTATTTCCCAAATATTTTCAATTTATGGTTGGTCAAATCCATGGATAAGGAACCCATGGATATGAAGGGCTAGTTGTATATTTTTGCAAAATTTTATCTGACAGGAACCCAGAAGCTTAAAAACAAGGCATTTGAAAGTACATGACTCCCAATGGGATTCTGTAATGTACTTAGAAAAATAAAAACCACCAAGGGCTCCAGATTTTCCATCAAGCTGTAGTTCTTAAGATCAACCAGTAGATGGCAGCATTAGAGAGAGCAGAGGCAGCTGCAGAGCAACCACCACCCTACAGGCAGGAAGAAATAGCTGTCCAAGGACAGAGGTGCTGGAGCAGAGCCACCTTTTGCTGAGTGTGTACTACAGAAAGTGATAGAAAAATAAGGCGAATTTGTAATATTTTAGAAATTATAGTAAAAGACGTTGTCATTAATCCCCCTCAAAATACTCCCCCTCACTTTTGACACACTTATTTCATCATTCTTGCCACTTTCTAAAGCAGTTATGGAAGTCCCCTTTCATGAGTGTTTTCACAAAATGTAATAAAAAATACAGTGAATGCTGTTGCCAAATGCCATTCAATAGGAAGGCAGACTCCTAACAACATTGTATTGTATTCTCATCTACCTT